ACGAACATCGTGTGTACGATTCCACCACAACCAAGAGTCAGAAATATATATTTGGAAATAATAAAGTGACTGTGTCCTATATTCTTTATTAGTTATTGATGGTTATTACTATAGATCACTATCTGCCAGCTCATGATTGTGAATACACCAAGTCGTGACGATGATTACAGCTAAGGTCGTTCCTTCTTATTTTGATATTAACAAGCCGTGACGAGGCCAACATGAGGGGAAGGCGGAGGACGGGGGATAGGTTTAGGATGAGGATGAAACTTAACCTATGAGAGGGTCAGGGGACCTCAGGTCAAGAAGAGTCAGGGCTTCAGTGTCTTAACGGGAGGATATCCACAGCTGACCATCTTCCGGGTAACAAAGAGAGAGAGGGAGAGAGAGAGAGAGAGAGAGAGAGAGAGAGAGAGAGAGAGAGAGAGAGAGAGAGAGAGAGAGAGAGAGAGAGAGAGAGAGAGAGAGAGAGAGAGAGAGAGAGAGAGAGAGAGAGAGAGGCTACTAGAGAGTTTAACTCAAGTGCAAAGAAATGAAGACATGAATAGAGGAAATCCTCCAGGAATTAGACAGTGAAAAACTTGGTGTCATCCAAAATCCCCATCAAGCGAGTATGTGCATGTGCAAGGATAGCCAATATAGAAGTGTTTCCATGAATCGTCCTGGACCTAGTACATCACATACATCAGACCAGTATTGAAATATGCACAAATCTGGAGTCCTTATCGCGTTAAACACATAATTAAGGTGAAGAAACTGCCGAGAGGTATTGGATACCAGACTAGAGGAACTAAACCTCACAATGCACGAAGAGATAAAAATCGTGGAAGATATGATAATTTCATAAAAAAATTCTATGGGTAATAAACGTGACAGAAAAGAACGTACTATTCGGAAGGGAAAATACACAAAGACTTGAACACATGTGTAAATTGAGCACCTGAATGAGTCACAGAAAAATGCTTAGAAGTGAGGTGATGGAGAAAAACTTTGTACAAAGCCCAAAAGCCCCGGAAACTTGTACACAAGTTGATTGAAGATTGAAAAGCGGGAACAGAGAATTGAAGCTCAACCCTGGCATGTACAACATGATGAGCACAACTGTGTGTACACTGCATGATCAATCAGAGACAGCGGAAGTGGGTCGTTTAAGACACGAGCGAGCAGTCAGAGTCCAGTAGTGTCAAGTGGCCACCTGATATATGACACCCCTTTGACACTCAACCTCTCCTCATGTCACGTGGCTACCTGAGGCATATGACACCCCTTTGACACGCGTATATCAATCCCCAAGTCCTCCGCTCTCTTGACCACACTCCACAGTGCTGAACACTTGTTTTTATTCAGTGGAAATTTAAGTTTAGCTCGGGTCTCTTTGTTTACTTCCTCTAACCCCAGAGAGCAAAGGATCCGTACTAAACTGTTGGCCCCCTTGCTTGTAGATTTTGGTTTAGTGCAAATCGTAAACTATAACAGTTTTAACCAAAACTAATTTTGGTTTAGTACTGTCATTATTAAGGGCCTATCAGCCTCTAGAGTATCAATGAGACAACATCGAAAGCTTATTGACTAACGAACAATGATACTTTGTTCTTATTAAATTACAAGAATGTAACAACTCTTGTATATATCTCAAAAAAAAAAAAAAAAAAAAAAAAAAAAAAATCTGTTGTAATCTCACATGAGTATAATTTATGAATAGAGACATGCCTTTTAATTTTAAATTAACAAAATCCTTATTGAAAGCAAATTACTGCAGACTTTCATGTATAAATTGGACAAATTCAATATGGTCATAATGCCGTGAGAAGGCTGTCGTAATAGGCACACATTTATCTGACAGCGGGTTGGTTAAAACCTTTGCAGCGTTCCTGTTTTTCTATTCAGACAAATTCACGATTTAAAATAGTTGAGTATAGATAAAACATGCTTCGTGTGGTCTGGAGATGATAAGCCGCCTTCAGATTTCTAAATATGTTCTTCATTTTAATGTCACGTCTTCAGCGAAAGCCGTTCATTCCTATACATTCGCTCTGATATGATCCTATGCATTCGCTCTGATATGATTCTGTGCATTCGCTCTGATATGACTGTGCATTCGCTCTAATATGATCATATGCATTCGCTCTGATATGATCATATACATTCGCTCTGATATGATCATATGCATTCGCTCTGATATGATCATATGCAATCGCTTTGATAACCCTATGCATTCACATTAATAACCTAATGCATTCGCTTTAATATAATCCTATGCATTCACTCTGATATAATCCTATGCATTCGCTATGATATAATCCTATGTATTTCCTCTGGTATAATTCAAAACATTCGCAATGATATGATCAGAAAATCTTTTTGCGTATTTGAACGAAAGAATCACAAGAGAATCAACTTCATTTGTATCAAGTGTTAATGTTATCCCAAGGATGTACAATCCTGACCCTTGTATTGTTAAGCAGGGTTTTGGAACGCTTAAGCTTTTGACCTGACGCAGATATGGGTCCGGTCAGGCCGCGGTTGGCTTAGGCTGACCATCCCAAAGGCGTGTCTAAGGGTAATTGTTGGGTCAACTTGCCTTTGGTGTCTCTCTCGCTATTTTGAAACTAGTATATGCTATTTACTTGAGTATATAAGATAGTAACCTTTTATACATTCCATCTGTAGCTTCGACTGTGTGTTGTGGTTGGCAATGGTCGCAAGTGCTGGTCGTTTGATCTATCAGTATAGTGTTGACCAAACCACACACTATTAAGTGAAGAGACGACGACGTTTCGATCCATTGAACAAATCCACAAGGGCCGTGACCATCCTTGACCATTCGACTTGATATTGGTCCTTAACGGACCGAAACGTCGTTGTCTCTTCACTTTCTAGTGTGTGGTTTGGTCAAAATTTTTCAGCCACGTTATTGTGACTCCTTATCTGAATATCAGTATAGTGTTATTAACGTCACCACTAACTTCGGACCAACCACCAACTACATTATTGTCTGAACAAAGCTCAAGACAAAAATAAACTGCTAGTTTACATTCCCTGATTCTGGTATACCTGTTGAGTTTACTATATACAAGTGTTCCAGTTACACTTAGAAGTATGGTACACCTCTGAGTGTATATAATTATAAAGCAGTTCCTATTAATATCCAACAACAGCATAGGAACTCTGTGTTATATACACATGCATAACAATTATTAAATCTTTACAACCATATATGTAACTAATAATAATAAGACTGCATTTATATCAAAGTTCCGGCCCCAATAGAGCATTAAACTGTATGAACAGTTTCCCCTTCGAGTCCGCATCAAAATTTTGTTTGTAATCTGAAATTTGCTTTTAATACTATTAATGTACTTATGCAACTATAAATAATAATAGTAATGAAGATAATCAAACTAGCGCATACTACCTTATTTTGGGTACCTTACCTATATAATAAAATAATATCACAGCGCGTACAGGAAATATTGTCCAACGCGAGGCAGTTCACGTACTGTGACTTTATGCAACAGTTAAATGTTTTCTAATAAAGAACTCAAAGTTTTACAATTTCTTATTAATCTATTTAATTTATTAATTTTATTGTTTCGATTTGAGTTTATATTTTCTTTATTATAAATCCTACTTCATTAGACCTTATTTTACTTGTGTATACTTCAGTCAACTTTCCAGTAGGCCTACGCCTATAGTGAATGAATATTTAGTTTTATTGGTCGCTCCTTATATGAAAAGTAATAACATAAATAAAAATTGAATGACTGGAAACCTAAATATGTACCTTAAGAGGATATTTTTATGAATGAATCACCCAAAACCAGGATTTCCTGCTAATGGAAATCCCAGCGCACGATTCATTCATTAAAATTTTACTCACCCTCGTACCCTCCAAATACAGCTGGTCAACATTCATTCATACACTCAACCGACCCCAAAAAGGCGCGCAGTTTTGGCGGGGAATTATCTTCATGAATGAACATGGGATGGACCAAAAAGGGCGCGGACTGACCTGATTTAAGTCGTACGTTCCATACCAAACACACACACACACACACACACACACACACACACACACACACACACACACACACACACACACACACACACACACACACACACACAAGCCTATGCGTATGCGTAGGTCATAGAAATGTGAAAATTTAACAGATCAGAAGGTTGTTACGTAATGAAGGGAAACTACCAACTGTAAAGAAATTAGAAAAATACCTGGATGTAACCAAATCCAACTCCGGAGGCACACATAGCTGGGATAACATCAGCAACATACTCTACACTGGCAAGAGTAAGAGCATCATTCAGGAATACAAATAAGGAGCTATAATTAGATCCCAGTACACTGTCTACGAGACCAGTCTTGGAGTATGCCGCCCCATATTACAACGCCCATCTCAAAAAACACAAGGAAACTTGAAGAGGTACAGAGCTTAGCAATGCGGCTTGTCTCAAAATTGCAAGGGATGGGATATGAAGAGATTGAAAGAACTAGACCTGACGTCGCCGGAGAGGAGAGCGACAGAAAAGACGTTATAGAGACGAATGCAATACTTCCGGGTATGAATAGTGTGGGAAAAGAGGAAGTGTTTGCAAAGAATATCAATAAGACTCGAGAGCATGAATGATAGAGAAACAGCGAATCATACAGATATTAGAGTGTTATTTTATTGAGATAATTGTGGGAATATCGATGAGTAGGTTGTAGAAGCGAACTCCATTCATAATTTGAAAAGTAAAAATGATTGAACAATAGAGTAGAGCGGTCAGTTTAATTACCCCTAAGCTACAACCAGCGACTAGAAAGATGGTTTCCAAGAGCAAACCTCGGCTCTATAGGTACAAATAAGTGAGTATAAACACATAATTTCATACGTTGGTATTTTCTTCAAGTTGTTTAGGAGAACATTCATTCACGAAAAAAAAATCCAAACGAAAAAATAATGACTGGATTAAAAACTAGTAAAAAATCTCTCTTTATTCAGCAGACGGATTTGTTGAGCTTACCTTCAGGTGCTCAGTTAAGCGCTATGATTTACGCGCGCAATTTCTGGAGCCCTCCCAACTATGGAGGTCATGCAGGTGTAGACCCAAGAGAGTTTATGAATGCAAAGGCGGGCAGGCCCCCCTGGGGACACCCCTGCGATGCTCAGGTAAGTACACTGAGATCTTTGTTGGTAGCCTTGCGACGTGCTGTATTGCTGTATCTACGTTACTGTATTGCTGTATCTACGTTACTGTATTGCTGTTTCTACGTTACTGTAGTGTGTCTTGCTGTTGTATCGTGTCAATTCAATGTCGTTATTATATAAATAAATACTCTTTATACTCTTTTTGTTAGTGTATTGCCTTTAGCTGTAGTTGTACATTGTAGTGCTGTATCGTGCCTTTTCTGTATTCTGAAGGTATTGTTGTGTCTCTTTCTGTAGCATTGAACGTTGTATTCTGGGCAATTGTATCGACCTTCATTGTAGTGTAGAAGTGGATTGTATTGTTTCTTGTAGTCAAGATCCGCTATAACCCTGACCTGAGGTGACCTGACCCAGAGGTCAAACACGTGCAGAGGGTCGTTAAGCTGGTTATAACTACCTTCCGAGTATTGTGACGTACCAGGTGTGTGTGTGTGTGTGTGTGTGTGTGTGTGTGTGTGTGTGTGTGTGTGTGTGTGTGTGTGTGTGTGTGTGTGTGTGTGTGTGTGTGTGTTCATCTACCTTGTCGGAATCGGAATAACTTGGATGTCGAGGAATCGGACGCGGGGAAACTAGGCAACGTTAACCTTAATTAATTAAAACTAACCTTAATTTGTGTCCCTCAAATATACTTTAACTCTGAACAGTGTTCAGGATTCAAGTAGTATATTACTGAGCAAATATTGAAATCGTACAATGGGCTCGAACCCGCGCTCCTGGACTCTCATAGACACAATATTCTCCCATGGATACATTACATTGTTGTGGTTACACTGTGCATCATCTTTAACTTATAAAGACATGAATTAAGGAAACTGCAGAATGCCTTTTGGCCTATACGTGGCAACTCCTATATTTATCCATCCAAACTTATTCATATATATGTTTAACCTACGCTTGAAACAATCGAGTGGTACCACGTCTATTACGTTAATCTGTTCCACAAATTAGCAACCATCTTTCAAAACCAGTATTTACCCAGATCTTTCTTAAATCTTAACTTGTCCAATATATATATCCATTGTTTCGTGTTCTATTTTGTGTTGATATCACCCTCTGGAGTGTTACTAAGGCCACCACAATAACCTATTGACCAATCAACAAATATACTTCAGTCCTTAACACAGTTCAAAACTTTACTTGTAAGTGTAACTACACGGAGAAGAGGGATATACCTCCATGTCCTCAACGTGAACAGTAAAATGCACACATTAGTAAAAAGAGAAAATATAGACTACTCTTCCTTGACCAGGAGTGACCTAAGACGGTAGGAATCTCAGTGACCTGGTACACCGGGATCAATACTAACTACAGAGACCTCCCTGGGGACCCACCTGGAGCGACCTGTCCTCGTCGAATGATTCCAGGAAGGATAAAATAATTGGTGTCAGGTCATGGTTAAAAATGACAGAACGAGGCATACGAGGTATTAGTTAATTTCTGGACGTTAATTATCAGAATTATTTCGTTTGTTTTCTCAATTACCGCACTCGTCTCTTACGCTAAACCAGACCCGGACTCACTTCTCTTCCTCACTTAAACTCACCTGTCACTCCCAGATAATATTCCCCTCCCATCATGCACCTGACTAACACTGTCAGGTGCAGGTACACGCTGTACTGTGTGTACCTCTCCCCCTGTACCGTGTGTACCGGGTCACCACTCACATCCCCGCTCTATCCCTCAGGCCGAGCTGGACAAGTACCTGCCAAGCTTACCCGAGCCTCCTGCCCAGCCCCGCCGAGACTCCGCCTCTCAAATCGACGAATTCTTCGAGGGTGAGGTTGACCTGACGACGGGCGGGTGGGTGGCTGGGCGGCGGGTGGCGGGCGGCGCCACCACCTACGTCTCCAGCGTCAGCCATCGCGACGCCCACGACGAGGACGTCTTCATTAAGCCCGAACCCATGACGTCAGTTGACTCATCCAAGCTGACGATGTGGGAGGATGTTACAACCTCCATTCAACACCTTGATCCAGAACTCCACGATTCTCACGGAGGGCTGCTGGGGTCCCCCGGGGGTCTTTTGGGGTCCCCTGGGGGGCTTCTGGGGTCCTCGAGGGGGGTTTACGCCCACAACGCCACCATAAAGCTTGAAGAACCCTCGTTGTCACAGTGCCACCTGTCGGCCGAACTGCCCAAACTGCTCTCTACGCCATCTCCACCCCCTCTCATCATGCCCCCCCGACTCACCCAGTCCTCAACCCCAACTTCCACACATCCCGCCTTCAGATACCCCTCCACCAGCACCCTGGGCACGCCCTCGAGGCTCTACATGCCGCCCACACCGCCCGCGTCAGACCACGGATCACCGGCGGATCCACACTTCCGACGTACGCCGCCCCCGCCGTATATTGTCCCTGCGTCGCCCACGTCGAGCGGGGGCGTGGGCGGCAGTCCGGTATGCACCACCAGCATGGGCGGAGGTGGGCGGAGCATGGGCGGCGGCAGTGCCATCATGCCATCAGCGCCGTCGCTGCCGTCATCGCTGCTGGGAGACCCTGGAGTCAAGTATTCCCGAAGGAACAACCCCGAACTGGAGAAAAGACGTATACACCACTGTGACTTTGCTGGTACGTAGCATCTTAACCTTACACCCCCCTCACCGGGAGACAAGAGACAGAGAGTGAATTTATATTCAGGCACATTAATAAAAACTGAGCTTTCATAAAATGCTTCAAAATAAAGTTAAAATATTTAAATGCTAGAAGCCTAGTAATACAAAGTAATATAAATAACTCGTTTTAATAAAATATAATATTTAATACGAAATATATAATATATTTTATAATAATATAATATACATATTAATAAAATATATACATAATATAATATATATAATATTATATATCATATATTATAAATGTTCCCTAATTATCTGACTATATTGTGAACAGGAAATAAACAAAAACTAACTATGTTGTACTGCATCATTTCAGGCTGCACCAAAGTGTACACAAAGTCGTCTCATCTCAAGGCCCATCAGAGGATCCACACAGGTAAGACCACCACCACCACCACCAGGTGTCTCTTGGTGCTCACTGCGACCCACATCTCCATCCCCTTGACCCTGGCAATATGTGCACACTCACGTAATGGTTTCAGGAGCTGGACTCCAATATTCTCTAAACTAAGCAGGAAACGTTGATAAAGTTAATTAACTTAAATTATATCTCACGTGAGCTTTAATATTTTGTTATAATACTGTATTTAGTATGAGGAAATGCTAATGCTATATTTCCTCATATTCGGTATAAGGCTGTTGTTGTTGTTGTTTAAGATTCGCTACTTGGAACAAAAAGTTCCAAGTAGCACGGGCTATGGTGAGCCCGTAGTGGACGCGATTTTATAAATAATTAAAGTTATAAACATTTTCTTTTATTGCTGCAACGTATGCTATTATTAGTACCTTGCTTTTGTACTGGGTCTGCGGTCTCAGACCCAGAAGCAGAAGCAATTTAAATATTGCAATAAATTTCGGTCAAGAACGTCAAGGACCTGTAGGAATTTGTAAACATCTGCAAATCTCTGGGTTAGTTTCTCGCAATTATCGAGGAAGAAAACGTGCAGCCGATGCCAAAGATTTCTCTTGATGGAATCTTTGATTAGAAAACGGAATCCGAATATTAATTTTCCGGTTAGACGTAAGATATATAAATACGTAAAAATATCAAAGTTTTGGGTTGCTGTAGCAAGGGGTATATAACTTTTATTATATTTGAAAGCCTTTGTATAGTTAAAATGCAAAAAAATATGTATGAAAAATCCAAGTGACATTGGATGTCGAGGAATCGGACGCGGGGAAACTAGCCAATGAGAGACGGTGCGAGCCTTCATTCACAAGTCTTGGTGTTGCCGGAGTACGATGACACACGCATTCTTACGATAACCGCCTGTGATCACGTGAGCACAGATACCTTCCAAACTTAACTTTATCTGGTCACGCAGCCTCATTACTGGAAGAAATACGCGTTAAATAACTAAAGAGCACGATAGTACTCATCGCCCTGTAAAAACCTATAATTACCCAGCCATCTGGTGGTGGGGGTTGTAACTGAATGGTGAAGATAGGGGGTACACAATGTTATTAATTATCCATTGTCAAGCAATCGTGCTCTAGCTCATTTGTCTGATCATGGCTGTATATGCGCACAAAGTCGGACAGGAAAATACGGACTTGAACCAGTGATAGTGTATTGTCCGAGTTGCATGTGGCGGCGTGTGGCAAGTGGTGCGGGAAGATCAACAGACAGGTTCCAAGTGGTCCCCGGGCGGCTGGCCCTCTCAGCCCTCGTGTTAGTGACCGATTCGACCCTCGCGATTATCCAGTTTGCTAGGCGATAGGATCTCAAGGCCTCCTTGATTACAGAGTAGATTCCACCAGAAGTAATTATGAAAGAAAACTTGCTCAAAACATCAAGAAAGGCCCCAAGTCTTTTTAATGGTTATATAATGAGTAAAATCAAGACATAAATACTTGACTTGAAAGATGAGACCAATCATGTTATAACTGACGATTAAAAAAAGTTGACACTGAATGAATACTTTACATCAGTGTTCGCACTAACAGAATAGGCAACATCCAATCATCTCCATACGTTTAAACGGGAAAAGAGAATGAGTTTTAAGGGTTATAATTATTACGTGCGAAATAATCAGGAAAGGTAAAATAATTATGAGGAGAAAGAAATCACAAGTTACAGGTGTGCATAAATAAATATAAAATTACAATTAAATTGAATTAAATCCAAAATGGTAAAGGAAGTGCCTGATTAATTCCTATTCAGAAAATTCACGGAATAAGGAAAATGTCCTTAGATTAAAAACATAAATATCACGCGTATATTGAAGAAAGGAAGGTAAAGTTAGCGGAAATGTACAGAATAATCAGCCTAACCTCACATACCTGCAAGATCATAGAGAGAGAATCCTAAGGTAGGGAATTATTCACCATATCCACGGTGAACAATCTTGTAAAAGCATCACAACATGGTATTGTTAAAAAATAAATCATTCCTAATTAGCCTGCTCACAATGTTGGAAATGGCAGCCAACAACACAGACAACGGACTTCTAGTGGACTTTGTATACAAGCACTTCCCTAAAGTATTTGATAAGGTACCTCACGAAAGGCTGGCGCAGAAACTGCAAACACGTGAAATTACCGACAAAATATCAGTGTGGTTAAAACAATGCTTAAAACAAGAAAGCAAAGAATCGTAGTGAATGAAAATGAATCTGACCTAAAAAAATGTTGCAGATAATTCGAGGATCATTGGTAAAGTGGTAAGCGAAAACTATATTAAGCCATGGAAAAGGATCTACATAAACTCATGTGGTCAGAAGGCTGGTAAAGGCTTCTCAGTTTTTAACATAACAAGACCTTACACCACCCTGCTGCAAACTGCTAAAGAAAATGATCTAGAAATGGTCCATCTCTAGGATTATATGTATGGTCCACCTGTCCTTGAAAATTTTTCAGCAAGTAAGAGCTGCGGAAATGTTTTTAAATTCAACCAAACCTTGGAAATAATTAAACAAATCTTTGACTTCAAAGACTAATGTTTCCAAGCATGGGAGACTGTCTTAAAATAAAATCAAAATAAAGATCACCGTAGAGCGACAAAAACCATCCCAGAGCTAAGTCAACTCTCTTATCTGAAAATGCTTAGGACCTTAAAAGTAACAAACACTACAAACCTGACATTACAGGGTTGATCTCACCGAGACCTTTAAAATATAAAATACTGAATCAATTTGAAAATAATAATTCATACCACATAGAAGAGTCATTGTAACTCACACAAGAGACAACAGCTTCAAGCTCAGCCGTCCACATTGTAGGACAGAAAAAAAGATACCTATTCACCCATGTACTCCCATGAATTCGCAAATTCCAAGACAAAATTCAAGGCCCAAGTCTTGAAATTCAAGGCTCCAGTTCAAAATTCACATAAAAAATCCTTAAGAATAATAAAGAAAGTTGTCATCGCTTCCTGTCCTCGCCTTGATCATTAGACATAGAGGCCTTCAGGTAAATATATGTCATAACGGTTGATCTATATACGCTACACGAACCTACGAAAAACTGATCTTTCAGACCACAACACGCAGTATGCAACACAATACGTGGAAACATAACAACACCTAAAATGAAAATCTTGGTGCAAGCGTCGGGGTACTGGAGAGCCCAGTGAGGTATCCTCTAGCCAGGGATGATTGTGGCTCGCAGGCTCGTCGGGGTCGCCATGAGAGGTCACCGCCAGTGTGCAGGAGTTGGGTATGGAGTGATGGGGGTTGGGGAGGGGATGGGGGGTGACGGACGGGGTATTTTGGCAGGGGCGCCGAGTTAGGAGACTGTTGCTACGTGGACCGGACCTCCCCCAGGGCATGCAGGCCGTCCCACCAATGGCAGTCAGTGTTTACTCCGTCCAGTTTCTCAATGAATGGCGTTCTTACTCACCGATTATGAATGAAAGTTTTTTACTCATCGGCTGTATTTTTGTATCTTTAATAAATTTATAAAAAATAATTGCATACAAAAATATGCACCAACGTCAAGTGTTCAGTGCAGCGATCAACATGTTTGCACACGCTATTAATTTATAAAAAAATATATAACAGGGTCTAGGTTACTAATATATTGTACATTCACTATTACCCTGACCATTTTTTGCGTGAGCCCATCTCTCCCTCTCACCTTCTCTTGCTCTCCATCACTTTCCCTTGCGTTGCCCTCTCTCAGTCACCTTCCCTTGCAACAACTTATCCATCACTTTCTGTCGCGCCACCTTCCATCTAACTACTTACTTTACCCTCGACACTATCACCCCTGCACCAGAGGACTCTGCAACAAGGGTTGGAGTAAACTGAAGGGGGGAAACTTTAATAGAAGTGGTGGTGCAGGATAGGAAAGGGAACTGCGGACTTGTGAGTGTTGGCCGCAGGCTGACACAATCCCAAGAGTTTTCAGAACCTGTTCACCGTCAGACACAGGGACAATAATGGCGGTAACAGACACAATACAGAGCAATACAGTAAAATAAATTTTATGTTAAATAGAAAATAAAATCTAACGAAAATAATTGAAAAAATTCAAATGCGAAATAAAAAGTGCAAAACATATTTATAATAAATAAATCTTTAAATGTACATTGTTTAAGCTAGGATAGACTAATTATGCTATGCAAGATTAGATTAATTATATTAGTTGTAACTTCCATTTTTAAACATGAGTTTGGTGGCTATCGCAATAAAACAAGCAGCACAAGTAACGAACGCGCTGTTTTTGCCGTTTCAAAGTTACATTGGAGGTACATTACGACATGATATGTTACAATATCTTGAATTACAAAGAGCAATGATGCTTGAACCGGTATCCAAACACCGCAGCGTTGAGTCTTAAAGGTGGTTTACTTTCCGACCGGTTCCAGTATCTGCAGATTAGGTCTATGGCTATTCCACCAGTGTTGCCTTGACGTTCACACGAGGTCTGTGTTGTAACTCAGGGATACAGCGGCTTCATTCTTTTTTTTTCAATACGTCTCATCTCTCCTCATTTCCTCGTCTGCTCTAGTCTACTCTCCCCATTTCGTAGTAATTCTTCTACATCTCTCCTAATCCCTCGTCTCTCATCATCTCTCCTACTTTCGTCTCCTCATCTTTCCTCCTTTTCATACCCTTTTGTCCTTCCCATTCTTCATGTTCTGTTTATGTGAAATATCGTTATAGTTATGTTAGATGAGGTGGCAAGAGCCTAAGGCCTCAGACTTACCTTCTTCCTAATCCTCAACTATAATTTATACCCCATGCGATAAAAAGTATTAGAGGGTAAACACAAATATTCATAGATATTCATATTTTATTAGTGACTCCTATGAATATTTGCACTCACCTTATTAGGCGAGTACAAATATTCATAGGAGTCACTAATAAAATTATCGTTACCAGCTGGTCAGCAAAACAACATTTGGCCGGCTGGTCGTCAAGGCAACACTGGCGGGCCATCTATAGGCTTAAGGCAATGCTGGATTCTCTACCTGCAAATTAAATCCCTCCTATGCTGGCAATACCGAGAGGGCGGCGAAGGTGTATTGAACCTGGACAGTGGAGAGGGGGAGGGTTTGAAGATCCTGCCCATTGGTGGGGGGGGGGGGGATGGGGGTTAGTAAAGATGCTCTTAACCGACCGGCCGAGTGCATAGCATCTCGGCCGGTTCTCGTTTTTCTGATTGGTCCATATAAGGTGGTGGAGGTGACCATATTTGGGGAAGGGCGGAGTCTCTGTCCATTGAGGACTGTGGGTGTGGGCAGCGGGGAGACAACGCCCTCCTTCACACCTTGCCCCGTTCATTCATAAAAATTTCTGCCTATTTGTTTACATCCCGTCTTCATCCGGACCCGGCTGGTCTTGGCTTCGACTGCTGTTTGAAACAAAGAGATGATTCCCAAAGAATTATTTACTTTACGTTGCTTAAATCATTCAAAATGTTTAACATCAATATTTATTAAATTTAATCATGCACGGTATATTGCTTATTTTTTAAATATTTTCAGTTCATTCAGAATGTTTACCTCACTCGGGTGTTTGCTTGTTTATCCCTGACAGGAGAGAAGCCGTACAGGTGTCGCTGGCCTGAGTGTCAGTGGATGTTCGCGAGATCTGACGAGCTGACCCGCCACTACCGGAAGCACACAGGCGCTAAGCCATTCAAGTGTAAAGTGTGCGAGAGATCCTTTGCCAGATCTGATCACCTCGCCCTCCATATGAAGCGACACATGCCCAAGTCACAGAAATAGGAGAAGAGGATAGCCAACTGGTTATCAATGCTCTCCCACAAGGACCTGTTGGGGAGGGAGGAGGGAGAGATGGCCGGCCACTGTTTTTAGTGAAGAGCCCCCTTCAGATGTTCTAATGTAAAGAAAACGGGCAGCGACTTCAGGATACTTCAATGCCCTGAGGAACCAGGAGCGATGCCCTGGCTGCATTGCTTATATGGACATAATCCTTCATTAGGCGAATGTCATGGTGTCTAGGCATTCGAAGAGCCATTTTGTAATTATATATATATTATTACAGCTTGTTTGTACTATTTAATGAATAGGTAAGGCTTCCTTGTCGCCTCAACTACTGCAAAACTTTGTAAATGTTATAGAGAACTCCTGCACTAAGATGATCCATCCTCGACCAGCTCTTCCCTACACAGTCTTACGGGGTACAAACACAACACACAGCAAGCCAAGTTCTACGGTGAACAGCACATACAACAAAAACGTGGCCTTGAATCATCTCCACTTACTCATGTGAGTTTACGCTTCCATAGGTTGTTGTGACCTTTACACGCTGTGTTCGACTTGTCTGACCCATGACACTCCGACCGTGCTGATTTTCTGTAGAAAACAGAACCTTGGATTTCACATGACTAGAGCTTCCTGACTCGCTGACTTCCTGACTCGCCCATTGCCCTATGTCAGTTTCGTAGTCATATTTCCAGGATTTCGATGAGCAGCCACGCATTTGCTATCTCTATCCTTGTTATTTTGCCAGTCATTCAGTCTCACTGTCCATCATTATTTTTCTTAGAATGTGCCATTATTTATAGTTAACATTAATTTTCTAAGACTTTACTCACTTTTCTAATGTTCATTCATTAATTTTCATGCATGCTCCGCAAATTTGATATCCAAGATATTCGAGGCCTCGTATCGAGTTCCTTATCTTAACTCTAATCTACATGCACGTCTTGGGTCACCCATGACGCTTGCTCTCAACTTCCGTCCCATCAATTTCCAGCAGATTATACAAATATACGCCTTCACTTAAGCTATAATTATTATAAAATTTATACAAAATTCTAAAATCTTTAAAAATAATTATCTTACATTTATTATATTTATTGCTATTTACTGCTGCAGTGAAGTACATTTGCTTGGTTGGCAAATCTCCATGTCAGCGATAGTAGACAGAACGGAAATGACTCGAGAATGAGTCTTTTTTTTCTCTCTCTCTATTCTTCCCAGAAACAACACCCGGCAGCTCTTCACGACGACACTTATGTCAACACTTTTGTTTCTATCCTAAAGTTCATAACTCATTATTCATAAACAAGTTTGTTGTAAAAATAAGTCTTTTATAGCGAGTTTTCATAAATCTAGTAGTCAGCAGTAACAAAATTATAGTACCTTGCTAGAGAGAACATTAAGGGCTAGAATAATTGTATACTTATTTTCCTCAATAGTTTCGTCTTAGGAGATTACATTAGTCACGAATAAAATTCAAGACTGCTTTGTAATTGCTGTTTGGTCAGGAAGCGATTCTGTGGTAGTCGTATTAACCCTTCGAGTGTGTGACAGGTTCAAATCCCATAATAATGTCACGGGACATTATTATACAAGTAGTTTCGTTGATCTGTGTAAATATAAAGATAAAATACTTCTTCAATCTTCATCAGTCTTGACCTCTGACCTAAGCAGTCAGTATTTCTGTAACTCCTGACGCTCGTTTAAAACAATAAATTCCTCAAGGATATAATTTCTCTTTCTCTTTCTCTCTCTCTCACACACACACACACACACACACACCCTATCCCTTATGCTTGTGGCCTACTTGACGACATGAATGTCTCCAGAATGAGATTTACAAATCTGCCCGTTCAAATGACTTCTGTTCTTGCTTTGTAGGCCTCCCAGTCTATTGATTTCAAGTTGAAGTCCCCCAGAGCTAACAATCATGACTTATCTTTATCTGCTTATAATATAATCTCTCTCATGACCATTATGAGACCCTCTCGTTTGTCATCTAGTTCCTCTTTTGTCCATGTGTTGCATGATGGTGGGCTGTAGGTCCACCTGTGTGTGTGTGTGTCGACACTCGGTCAATGATTTATCAAGCGTTCCATATCATGTGCATATTTTAAAATATCTTGTGTATCTTGATATATACTGTGTACCCTGACAGATCTTGTGTGTCTTGAGTGTGCTGTCTCGTGGTTGGGTGTCTAGCTTCAGGTGACACTCTGACCTTGGTTGTGCCCACATGTGCCATTTTCTTTAGTTCGTATTCTCTTCGGTGCCATGACGAAGAACCCGTCCATACATGTGCCATACACTTTGCCCACTTGTACAGAAAATGGTCATACAAGTAAAGAAAACGATTCCACATGATGTCCACTTGTATAGAAAATGGAGAAACATATTGCCCACTTAGAAAATGGACAAAAACGTCGCCCAGTTGTATAGAAAACGGACATGCATGTTAGCTATTTGTAAATAAAACGGGCATACACACTGTCCACTTTTATAGAAAACGAGCGTGTGTGTTAGCTAACTGCAAAGGAAACGGGCAAACACGTTGTCTACTTGTAAAAAGAATAAGCTGCAAGTGCCTTGTTAACCTTGTGTGTAGTTTTAAGAGCAGTTATCTATGCACTTGCATAATGGTGCAATGCCTGTGCCAAATTGTTAGTGATATTTTGTGTCCGTGTGTTCGTCTTAATTTTAATTATTATAAGTTGTTATTGTTTTTGAGACGTGTGTGCGAGTGTTTGTCTCTCAAATATGTAAAGTTAGGTAGCCATTTGTTTTAGTGCCATAATTACTAGTTTCATCATAACTTTATTTTAGTCTTTGCAATCTCTAGGCTGCATAAATTATTCTTCACAACAATGAAACCTTAGAAGATCAAATTATCAACATTATTCCTGTACATTTGACCCGAGGTGATGTTTTCGGTGTTATATTTGACTCAAGGTTGTATTTTCTGTGTTTAATTTAATTTATGTGTAAACTATTTTACTTGTGGGATTTAATTATTTGTTCGCATTTTCGTATACTGTTAAATTATGTATCCAATCAAACTTGTTAATTGTTTTCACAGTTAATGTGATCATTTAAAATTAATGTGATCATTTAATGAGACCACTGTAACCATTGTTACCTATTTTTGCAAATCCAGTACAGTACTTGATTATGTTAAATTCAGGGCTTCATGATCATTTTAAATCTAGACTACATGTTTAATAATACTAATCTTAATATGTTAATTACGTTCCTTAATCATTAAAAATTGTATATTCAGGCCCCCCCCCCATCAACTATGTTAAGCTATGACTGTGTTAAATTCCCCAAGCTGTGTGATAATTCAGCTACTGGGCCAGATCTCATAAATTCTGGCCCCTTTCCCCAACTCTCTGGTTGTGTTGAGAATAGCGACCTGGTGCGGCTGGAGGGATGCAAAAAATTATGTAAATGACTAAATATTACAAGTGTTGAAGAAACTGTTGAATAAACTAATTTGCATAAATATTTGTCAGGAAGTGATAGTAACGAATTTTTTTTTCACTAGCATTACAATTTTGATTAAAAAATTATAATTTCGAGTTAAACATTAGAATTAGTAAATTCTTAGAACAGAAGTCACTAAATTTATATTTGAACTGACAATGAAATAATAGTCGAAATAAATAAGTGTATCATTCAATAGTAATAATAACAGTAGATGAATTATTATCAAAGGCAGTGCAGCAGTAATATTAGTTAACAGTAATAAACTTTCTGTTTACAGTATATTATATATACACTAGTTTGTCCCAAAGACCATTATCAAATGCCTTGATAGCAAAATGCTTGTAGGGATGTAAATATTTTTATACTTATAGGTCGATACAATTAAGACATTGAGCTTACTGTCAAGCCCTGGCACTCTCCAGCCCTCCTGATCCTTCCAGCGCCCTAACAAACCTTCTGAGCTGTAGTTCGGAAGGTAAGGGTGTCTTGGATGTTGCCTCTCCTCACTCATAAGTGACCTCCCATTACTCTACCGCCCGTCCAAGGTTGTGTTCATACCCCATTATGAAAGGGACTTCAGGGAGAAGACGCTAGGACTACTATCATGGCGATTCAGTTTCGCAAATCTAACCTTTGCGAACTCGCGGGCAATTTATGCCCTCGAGTCCCTGGGTAACTTGCGGCTTCTCCCTGCAGGTGTGTTGTGACCAGATCCCTTCCATTCCCCCAATAACCACCCCGTCCCGGGAGTCGTCCAGCTCACAGCACAAAATATGTGTTAAAGAGAAGTGTACAAAGAGAAACAAACACATTTTGGCGTCCCCCGCCATTGTAACTTGGTAATGAGCTTTAGTGAAGGTTCTGCCGCGACGGACCCGCTGCCCCTGGCTGGTCCGGGGGGCGGCGACCCCATCCTCGCCGGCAGCCTCTCCTTCATCGTTTCTCTGCTTATCCCCCGACGACAGGGCTCAGGAGGTCATCCTTCAAAGTCTTCTACTCCTACCACTTTGCCTCCTGCTGCCCCTTCGTCGGTATCAGCAGCTACGTGGCTAGGGTGTCTCAGGTCGCGTGAATTGTCCCCCTCCCTCTCACTCTTAACCAGCCTCCCTCTCACCCTTATCCAACCTCGCTCTCACCATTTTTGGGGCTCCCTCTCACCCTGCTTATCTTATTGTAGCCTCACTCTCACCCTCATTCAGCCCCTCTCTCACTTTTATGCCTTTCCTGGCTCTCTCTCACTCTCACACTTGAAAAGCTTCTCACCCTGTCATCAGTACCAAAAACATTACGTAGGTCTTTCTACACGCACCCGACACCTCAGTTCCTGCCCACTTCTCTCACTCTCTGCCTACATATACCACACCCCACTCCGTACACACCCTGTCGTACACCCCTCACTCCGTATACTGTCGTACACCCCCCAATCCGTACACACCTTGTCGTACACCTCCCCTCCATACACACTGTCATACACTCCCCCTCCATACACATTGTCGTACACTCCCCCTCCATACACACTGTCGTAACCCCCACTCCGTCCACACTCTGTCATACACCCCTCCCCTCCCAACACGCCCATCACTCTCCCACCAAGATACAGAGAACTCCTTGCTACCATCGCCTCACCCAGATTCACAGAAGACATTTTCTATGAACTTCGACAAGCTTATTTATGTAGCAAAACCTGTTCTTTCCTGTGAGGGAATACCATGAGTACATCCATAAGCTCTCTCTGTCTCCTAGCCTAGTTAAGTTTGCTATATGGTGTTGGGATTTAGTGGTAATTAGTGGTTTAAGATTAGCAATTAGAGCTCATATTCTCTCCTCCAATTTACTCTTACTCTTGACTTCTGTCACCATTTCATTCAGCCTATTTGATAATTATCCTTTCATCCTCTCCCTCCCTATCTCTCTGGGGCTCCAAGGGGGAGCACTGACCCCTGTGACTAACAGAGGGTGAGTGCCCCCCTCGGGGCTCACTAGGGGGTCACTACACCGGTCTGGGCAAACAGCCACACTTGTTATTTCGTTCTTGTTGTTCTTGTTTACAAGTCTGTGGCCCAGGCAAACACCGTCGTGCCTCCCCCCCCCCCCCTGAACGCCCCGTTCAACGATCCTCCCTCTCCACCCACGCCTCTAGTGGGCGTGAGGGGCTCGTGTGTTGGCGTGTTAGCAAGAGGGCGCGGGGGGTGGGCACTTGTACGTGGTTGTGTTGCAAAATTGGGCAGTAGTTCCGGGGCTTCTGCCTCCGTCACCTTCTGATTGAAGGTTTACGCGAGGTAATGCCAGTGTGGTCAACGCCAGGTGGTGCCAGTGGTGCTCATCGCCAGGCAGTGCCAGTGTGGTTAACGCCAGGTGGTGGTCAACGTGGGTGACCACCTGGGCTCAGTGAACGCCACATGTAAGATGAATACCGGTTTATAGAGATACATTTATTTTGTAAATCCTGTGTTTCATTGTCCTCTCTCGCAACATGCGCAAGAAATTAAATATTAAATTTTCTAATAAAGAAGATTGAGAAGTGCAAGTGAAGGAAAAGTAGCATCAGTTGCGATAGCACGCGAGCTGTCCATCTTACTGACAGGATGTGTGTGTGTGTGTGTGTGTGTGTGTGTTTGGCAGCTAAATTATACTTTGATATTCTTTTTTGTCAGGGTTGCTGAGAGTGTGTGTGAGGTTCCTCACAAGTATGGATGTCTATAGATGAATGTCGTGTAGCATTCACATATATGCAACATAAACATGTGCTTCTGTGAGCACTGAGGATTTAGAGGGTTTGTGTGGTGAAAGGGAAAGGGCAGTTGAGGGGGGGGGGGATAGGATAGATGTGGGGAGTGGAGGAGTCATGCAGAGTGAAGGGATGCCTCACACAAGAGCAAGGGCAAAGTGTGTATAATGACCTGAGAAAGAATGCAAGAATATACTATATTCTACATAAGAATATACACTATTCTACATAAGAATATACTATATTTTACATAAGAATATACACTATATTCTACATAAGAATATACTATATTCTACATAAGAATATACTATATTCTACATAAGAATATACTATATTCTACATAAGAATATACTATATTCTACATAAGAATATACTATATTTTACATAAGAATATACCATATTCTATATATGAATATACTATATTTACATAAAAATGTACAATAATCTTCAGAATGCCTATAGATGCCATGTGAGGCAGCTCCTATTTATGACGGAGGCAGCTACTAGCTGTGATCAACTAGCATTACAAGACATGGTAGCTTTCAATATAAAATTACATAAAACTGGTAGCAAATCTGCCAATTAAAACAACTTTCATGCACGAGTTGACACATTGTTGTGCAGTGCTTAGCACACCTCACACGAGCTGGAAACAGGTTCGAATCCTAGATACGACTGGGCACCGTTCCAACACTGCTCGGTCCGTAGCACCCAACTGTTGAGGACCTGGATGTTGAGCTATTTTTGGGTATTAACTACACATGGTTCCAGCATATGGACTGAGGCCTAAAGATCAACAACCTATCCATGCACAATAAAAGAACCATGTTACTTTTTGCACTGCATATTTCCATTTATCATAAATTAAGTTTTCATAAATAATTTTTATTTAGAAGTTCTTTTTATCTGGAATTAATTATCCTTTAAATATTTACATAAAATATTTCAACAATAAAATAAAGGAGGTAATAAAAGGCCTATTTGGCTAAGTTAAAAAAATTTACAGCTCACTCCTGTGCCAGGTAAGTAGACTACGGGCTCACCATTGTCCGTGCTAATTTGAACTTTTTGTTCCGAGTAGCTGAATCTACGCAATAACATGCGAGATAAGTTGCATATATATTTGTAGCTCATCATATTCGATTGTTTGTCACTCCTGTCTTGCAGATCTTCTAATGAGAGCTTCGGTTACAACTTGATTATTTGTGTCCAGGTTTTCTAACCAGCAGACATCTGACACCCGGTAACTGATAACCTGGTGTCAACATTACCAATAAGGAGGATATTGAGACCTGTTACCCGAATCAACTGTATATAAAGGCTGATGGCCAGCATAATTATCATGATGTTGCTAAATTGGTTGTCAGCCCTGGAATTCTGTCGTTGGTTTGGGAGAACGGGGGGGGGGGGGAGGAGATGGTGGATCTCTTCTGCTGCTTGACCTTCAAGCCCAGCTGAGGGGTGGCGGCCTTACTCTACCCCCTAATCACTCTGAATATCTAAATTTATCGTATCTGAAACTAACATTCAATGGGATCAGCATTTTTCTATATGAATACTGTCGGTTATAAGAGCTGTGTCCTACATCAACTCGTTTATTTGATGGCAGGTTACATCAATAATGATAGGGTTGACGATGGAGCTATATGTAGACCAGATCTTATATATAATTAATTGATCTTTTTAACATGAATAATCTTTAGAGTGATGTTTTTGATGATTAACATATATATTATATTATAATGTATATGCTGCTGACTGAACGTCTTGTGTTGTAACGAGCGTCCTGTGGTTGTCTTTGATGCTGGGTCAGATGGGGAACCTCGACAACGCCGACCTTATACACAGCAGTAAGGCCGCCAACACCTTTATGTTGACCGCTAAACAGACCAGGTCCATTCAGTACTGATCAAGACTTGAAATGATGGAACTTCCACAGTTTCCAATCTTATCTTGGAGTAAGAGAAAGGATGGAGGTCAGGCCCTGTAAGAGAGCTGGCGGTGCATACACAAGTTGCAAGGAAGCCTGCGCTTCATGCAAAACTTTGCTATGGCTACTTTGCTTGTAAGGTCCAGCACGGAATGTCTCGTGGTCAGTGAAGAATCAGGATGTTCACGTCATCGCTGAGACATCTTCCATTCCTGTTTAGCTTCTTCATGTGGTTATGAAATGCTGCCTAGTTATAAACATTTTAGCTGAGACAACTTACCCAACCTACACATGTGAAAATAAAGGAATATGACAATCTTTCGGAACCATCCTGGACCTAGTCCCTCCTGGACCCCCCTGTAGGTCCCTCCTGGAGGTCCCTTTTAGACTCCCTGTAGGTCCTTCCTGAATCTTATCACGACTTGACAAGGACCGAATCTTCGACACTTTTATTTCACATGTGGGTTGGGTTAATCATCACCCTCATTTCCTCAGAATGATGAATATCTTATCATCACCTTCCTCAGACACATATTGCTTCAAGTGTGTGATGAATGACTGTGGTCGGAGTGGGTATTTCCTCTCTAGTATAAGGAAAAGGTTAGAGACCAGTCATCAACCTGGCCCCAGGATTCTAGGATGAGGTGTAGTAACTCGGTGAGGCAAACTTTCCACACGTAGTGGGGACAAGTACCCGATCTTATGATACACTGACACCAAATTTATTGGCTTTCAGACGCTCTACGTCTGCACGTGTTGATGACGTCAGCAGGACTCTCCAGAGACGCAGACTGCTGGTCGCCACCAGAGGTCTCCCCCGCTCCTCCCCCCCCCCCCCGGCAGGCCAGCAGCCCCCACCAGCTGGACGATCATGTTCCGGGGGGGGGGGGTTGTCTGCGCCATCTGGGCCCCACCACCTGACCTCCCCCACAACCATCTGATCACGCCACCGCCACCAAGTCACCATCACCACCACCACTCTGCCCCTCACCACCACTATATTAACTCCACTACTTACTTCCCTCCTTCACGGGAGACATCTCCCGTCACGCAGGGTGCAGTCGCACCTCCACAGATCTCCAGTATCAGCTCTTGATACTGGTAATGGCTCAGAAGGGCCACCACTTACGGGCTATTCATGCCCGTGCCACCTTTTGGGTGGCTTAATCTTCATCAATCAATCAATCTTCCCTCCTTCCTCTCACCACCATCACCACCTACTCTATCCTACCCACCAACAACACCACCACACAACCCTCCCACCACCAGGATCACAACCCATCACTATCATCTATGCTTCCAACCACCTTCACTAATACCACAAACACCAACTATTGTCAACTGAGCTTATCTGGATGACAACAGGTAACAGAGTCTGGATGCTAACAGGTAACATAAACAATCTGGATAACAACAGGTAACAGAGACAGTCTAGAGGACAACAAATATAAACAGGAGATAAACATGATATAAACATCACAGAAAGAATGCCTAGTAAACAAAAATAAAAACTATGTAAATATAAACACAAAAGTGCAACCATTGACTTTTAACATTCGGGATGACAAAGGCGGGAAGATGTCAAACTTCAGCAAGTGCCTATCCACTTAAACTGAACGTCACAGCCTCGCTTCTTGCAAACAGGCCTTTCTATTCCCGAAGATCCCAGTGACTTTTTTCCTCAGTTCTTCCTGTCTTGCCCACGTATCCCTCTTATATAGTCCTACGGTCTCACCATAGCCTGTGCACTTGGAACTGCTTGTTCTAAGTGGCGAATCTTTAACAACATTATATAGTCACACTGGCTTAGCTATCTCAAGTTAATTTAAAACACGCATGTGAGGCGGTTTAGTCTTGTGAACAAGGCCTATCAACCTCTTAAGGGTTATTACGGGCACCACAAGTGGTGTTTTAACTAGCCAGCAAGAATACTTGTGTCTTTAACATAAGGCGGTCCAGGACCAAGTTGTTTTAGATTTAGCTACTCAGAACGAAGTGTCCATGTAGCACGGGTTATAGTGAGCCCGTAATTGAGAGCAGTTATTCGCGATAACCTTGTTACTGTGATATTTTGGTCAAAGTTTTAAATGGAGGTGGGGTTTCCTTCTTTTCACCTGTTTCTTTTTCGCTTCTGTTTCAACGCACTGGTTTTAATCTTGTTTTAATATCATTATCTTGGTGACGGATGTAGATGCAGAATGTTCACTAGTGTGTCCCATTCTTCAACTGCTTTTCTAATCATTGTAGTCGCTGTGGAATATGCATCTAATGCAGCTGCTGTCGTTGGATTAATGTTGAGCTTGATGCACAGGGCTTCAGTAGCTTCACATTCCAGTAAGTAGTGCAATAGTGGCGCCTCTGCATTTGTCCCACAGATATGACACTCTTTAACTATTGGGTTTATTACCTCCCAGCAGCACTTGTAACCAAGTCTGAGTCTGTGTATGGCTACTGCAATGTCTCTGGATATCTTTTTGCCAGGCTTGAAAGGGTAGTACCCAGTGGCTCGTTCGTACCACATCGCAGTGTAGGACCAATTGTGTTGTTGTTGTTATAGATTCAGTTACTCGGAACAAGTTCCAAGTAGTACGGGCTATGGTGAGCCCGTAACTTACCTGGCACAGGAGCGGGGCAAGTAGCACGGGCTATGGTTAGCCCGTAGTGGACTTACCTGACAAGGAGCGGTGCCGACCTCTGTGGTAAAAAAAATGTAGGACCAAGGTAAACTCAGTGTATATACACCGAGAAGCGGAGTACACCTCTCTCTCTCTGTACATGTCCCAAGA